ATCACGAGGCCGTAGGTGATACTCAACAGCGAGGAAACGCTGAATTTGAATGGGCAAGGTTGAGCGTGGGCAGGGGGTCATTACCCTAAAATGTCAGCTTCTTAAACTCCGTGGATCCTGAGATATTGACTTACCCGTAAAAAACTTTCACGGGGCCGTATGAGTTACCCGCGGGTACGGAAAGGCTGAATTTGAATTTGCCGCGTCACCCATTGGCGAGGAACAGTACACCAAAATTTCAGCCGCCCAGCTTTTGTGGTTCCCGAGTTGAAAGTGCGGGACAAAATATGGACACACACACACACACACACACAGACAACCCCGTGACAATATGCGTTTTGTAACGCTGTTACACAGCAGAAAACGCATAAAAATCAAAAGTCAACTTGCAAATTCGAAACTGGCGAATCGCTGCAGATATTTTCCGGAAAGAGTCCGGGAGCAAAAACTGATAAGCTTTTCTAAATTCCAAAATTCAGGATTTTTCAGTGAAAAAAAAAGGAAGTTTGCAATAAAAAAAAAAAGACCTTATTTGGTGTGCGCGGTTCACTCGAGTTCGACCTCATTTCGTTATCACTTAGAACTTCGCCCTCTTCCAAATCATCATCGCTGTTGCTCATCGCGTCCACTTTTTTCTGTGAATTAATAGAACTGTTAAAATCAAGACTGACAGGCTCGTCTGCCTTCTTTTCCTCGCCCTTCCCTTCTCAAATTTCTTTCTTCTCCTTTTGTCCAATGCATTTTATCGCCTCACTGCCTTTCTGCCGTCCTTTTTCCCTCTTCAACTCATATCATCCGCTTTTTAAGGTTTTGGAGAAAATATGAACAAAAAATGAAAGAGTTGTAAAGAATTATTAATGTTGGTAAGAAATGTTTCGGTCCATTAAGTCGTATACATTTCTTGTCACAATTATTTTGCACAAAAGTTATTTATAAACTTAAACTTAAAACTTAAAAACTCAAATTTTTTGGACTTAGAACTTATTTTTTAAATAAAAATCTGTTTCGAAATCTGTAGAAATGCAATTCTGAACCAAAAAAAAACCCGTCAAATGCAAGGGATAATAAAATCTGTAATCACCTCATCCCTTCGAGTACCAGCTGCTGGGCATTCTACGGACGAATCTCGTTCTGAAATTAGCGAAAATCGCGGCGTTTGATCAACTGGAATGCCTGATTGTGTGGAATCCTGTCTTCCACTGATCACATCACTGCAACAAAGAAAATGAATTTCTCCAAACTACTTGCACAGACTTTAGAAATTGCTCAAAATATAAGAAATGAAGCAGTGGAGTGATCCTCCTTTAACAACTTTTCTCTTCAAAATTCCAATATACCGCTTTTATTAAAGTGAAGAAAAATTATTACGTAAGCAAGAAACTGGTGAGATCCAATTCGGTGGTTGAATCAGCAACAGCAAATTCCGTCTTTGACTCTATAAAGACAACGGCTGCATTTCAGATAAAAACTGCATTTTATATAAAAACGAACCCACTTTAAAACGCCTTGGCAAAATCGAAATTACATTTCCACCGGAGAAAATACCACGGATTCTGTCGTATAGATGACTTCAGGGCCCCGTCCTCTTCCAGTTTGCAAGCCAGGGATATTCACTGTTTGTATCTCTAAAATTTCACTTCCCCCTTCTTCCCCTCTCTCTTCCCCCTTAACATCACTTTCACTATTACATGGCGGTTAGGAGGCTGTACTGACGATTTCCACCCCTAACCGCACCACGTACTGTCTGTTGTTTACAGTTTAGGGATGAAACACAGGCAGCCCCTTCTTTTACATGCTACTCTTCACATGATCCTTCTACATGACAAATGGTATACATACATTTCCCACTTAACAATCTTCTCTAGCCTTCACCCCTTTCGAATTATTGGTCTGCTGACCGGACCGTTCTTTTAATTTGTTTTTCCTAACCCCTCCTCCCCTCCCTCCTACTCCATCCTTGGTTGTTCATATGATGCTAGTAGGGCCTCCACGGCCCGTATTGTCTTCTACGAAACATTTTGTAAGGACCACGAAACGAACGTACTTTTAATAGGAACGTTTGCAGAAGAAACAGATGCTGTACTCATTTCTTCTTTGGATTCACTGCTTTCTTTTTTAAAATCTCTTCCTGAAGATACAATTTTTTTAAGCCGATTGTAGCATCCAGGTTGACTTTGAATGTCGGAGTTGACGATTCAACAAGTTTAATACGAATAATGATTGCTAAACCTTAATTTTATGAATGGCTCGTTGAAATACAAAGTCTCCTGAAGGCTGGCAATTTCCGTAATTAGGCAATAACGAAATTTTTACTTTAAAAAAACACCCACAAACCTTTCAGAATAGCTAATATCCTTTTACGGGGCATAGCATTGAGTTCAGCGATGCACAATGAGAGTAATTTTTCTATATTCATACTCTAAATTAAGGAAAAAAGTGTAAAATAAATAGCAATGCGCACCAGATTAGCCGATGCGATCATGCGTTTTGTGCAATTCAGCCCACCGAACGATTGCCTATTAATGATTTTCACTGCTTT